GGGGGTTAAAGGGGGCAGGGAATGGGGGATAATGGAATTGGGGGAGAAGGAATCAAATGGAAATAACGGAATTAGGGCAGGAAAAGGCAAATCAGAGATAGAAAATTCCAATTAAAGGACAAAAAACCCCAACGAAAGAGGAAAAGTCCAACTGAACGGAAATGAAATTGAATTAAAGAAGGAAAAGATCCAATTAAAGAAGAAAAAACTCAAATAAAACCAGGGAAAAGCTAAATTAAATCAGCAAACACCCAAATTAAAGGTAGAAAAACCTGAATTAAGGGTGGAAAATCTGAAATTAAAGACAGAAAGTCCCAGATTAAGTGTGGAAAACCCTGCATTTTTCTAAGTTGTAAAACAGGAAACCCCCAAATTAAAGGTTGAAAGAGACAAATTAAAGGCAGAAAAACACAAATCAAAGGTGTAAAAAGACAAATTAAATCAGGAGAAAGCAAATTAAAGCAGAAAAAAACTCAAATTAAAGCCAGAACCCCTCCAACTGAAGGCATAACCCCCCCATTAGAGCCAGAACCCCCCCATACAGGGGGTTCCCCCCATCCCATACCAGCAGGTCAGGGCTGGAGCCTCTTTCTCGGTTCCCGTCCTGTTTTCCAGCCTTGGGCATCATCTTCTTACTGGCGACTGTGGGGACCAGGCAGACCCCCGAGAGCCCCTCACAGGCCAGGAGACTTGCCTGGGGGGCACAGAGACCCCCACCATCAACAGAGACCTCAAAACCCCCAAGAGACTTGCTTGGGGAGGACAGGGACCCCCAACACCAGCACAGACCCCCAAACTCCCTCCTATCAGCACAGACCCCAAACCCCCCTAGGGACTTGCCTGGGAGCCCCCCATCATGAACCAAACCCCCCAAAAGCCCCCCCAAAAAACCCTACAAGACTTGCCTGGGGGGGACAGGGACCCCCACCATCAACAGAGACCCCCAAAAAACAAGGAGACCCTGGGAGGGAATGTGGGAAAATCCCAAGGAAACTTGGGATAATCCCAGGGTGATTCTGAGTTGGGAGGGGGAGGTGAACTCCCTTTTTTGGGGCCTGGCAAGACAAAGGATTAATGGGAAATTTGGGAGTAATCCCACAGAAATTGGGATAATTTTATGAAAAATTTAGGATAATCCCAGGGAAAAGTGGGAAGACTCCAAAAGTGGGGATGAGAGGGCTGAACCCCCTTATTTGGGGCCTGACAGGACCAAAGGTTAATGGGAAATTTGGGCATAATTCCAGAAAAACTGAGAAACTTTGGAATAAGCCTGAAGAAAATTTGGAATAAAACCAGGGGAAAGTGGGAAGGGGGGTTCCAGCTCCAGCTCTGGCCCCATTTTCCCCCTTTTTCTCATATTTCGGGGCCATTTTTCCCCCAAAAAGCTGCCAGGCCTTGGGATTTGGGGGCCTTTGGGGGATTTTGGGGATGGGGGGTGGGGGCTCATTACCTGAGCCATGGTGTGGGAGCCTTTGGCCTGACTGTCGCCCAGGCAAAGCTCCTTTTGGGGGCAGAAAAGGTGGGATCAGTAAATTTTTATGGATTTTTGGGCGGGCTCCAGTACCCGCCACGGCGCCGCCATTCCTTCCTCCTCCTCCTCTTCCTGGGGGGCCACGGGCTCAGGAAAGGGGGGGGACACTCGGCCAGGCCCCCCCCCCCAAAGCCGAGACCCCCCAAAGCGGGAGGTGTTGGATCCGCAGGGACGGAGTTGTCGGGGAGTCCTGGGGGGAAAAGAGGGTAAAGGGGGGTCCCCAAAGGTGGGGGGGGTCACCTACCCAAAGCGGGGGGGGTTGGGGGGACTCTAGGGGTAATTTGAGGGGGGTGGGGGTGGCTTTGGGGTGTTGGATCTGGGGAGCACTGGGGGGGGTGATATGGGGTGGCAGGGGTCACCTACCCTAAACTGGTGGAGTCTGGCAGGGTTTGAGAGGGCCCAAATGTGTGGGGGGAACCTGGGGGTGGGGTCCAGGGCAGGGTGACACGGTGGGGGGAGGAAGGGGGGTCCTGGGGGGTGGGTGACCCTGAGGGGAGTTTGGGGGGGCCCTAGGCAGGGAGGTGAGAGCGGTGGGGGAAGGTCAGGTCTCGGGGGGTCCCGGCGGGGGGTCACAGTGACGGGGGGGGGGGGCCGAAGAAGGGGGGGGGCCCGGGGGTTGGGGGTTCGCACGGGGGGAGGTCCCAGGCACGGGGGTCCCACCGAGACGGTGAATCATCGGGGGGGGTCACACCGGGGGTGGGTCAGGGTCCCACCAGGGTGGTCTCGAGCGCCCCCCCCATTGTACCTCCCCTCCCTCCCCCCCCCCCCGGGGGGGGGGGGGGGGCGGGGCGGCCCCGGGGGGGGTGGGGGGGGGTGTGTGGGTTTCTCCGGGGGGTTTTTCGGGGGGTGTCGGTCCCTACCTTCCGCGGCCCCTCCGCGCTCCCGCCGCCCCCCCCCCCGTCCTCACCCGGAGCCGGAAACTCCGCCCCCGCCGCCACTTCCGAGAGCCACAAACGCCGGGCGGAAGCGACGGGTACAACGCGCATGCGTATAAAGGATAAACGAGGCCAGGCTCCGCGTCGCCATCTTGGGTGATGGTGGTTGCCATGGCAACCGCGCGGCCTGCACCTCTCCGAGCAGCCTGAGCCCTCCGAAAGGGGGAACGGCCCCGAGCCGACGACCCTCGACACCCTCTGGGACCCCCCCCCGTGTCCTCCTCGAGACACAGTCCTCGCTGTGACCCCTCCTCCCCGCTGGGACCCTGTGGTGCCCAGGGGTGGATGCCAGGTGCCCACCCACCCACTCTATCACTCCCCTTTCCAGCGGGACAGGTGAGAGAGTAAGGTGTAAAAAATACCCCAACTCATGGGTTGGGTTAAGGCAGTTTATTTAAAGCAAAAAAGTAAAGCGAAGCTTGTGTCTGCAGAAGCAAAAGATAGCAGAGTTTATTCTCTACTTCCCGTGAGCAGCGATGGTTGGCCACTCCCGAGAAGCAGGGCTTCGGTACATGTGATGGTTCCTCAGCAAGCAGCCACTGGAGACAATGAATACCCCCCTTCCTGCTCTTTGTCTCAGCTTTTATATCTGAGCTGACATCATCTGGTCTGGAATATCCCTTTGGTCAGTTTGGTTCAGCTGGCCTACTTGGGTCCCCTCCCAGGATCTTGCCTGATTTTTCTCTTATATAGCTCACAGACTTAATCTTCATTCTTTCCTTGTTCCACTGATGGGTAGGATCACTTATTTCCTTTGCCCTGTAATGTAGTGCCATGGTTTGAGATAGCCCCAAAATCTAATTCTCTAGCTCCATCCCCCCTCCCACATCTCAACCTAATGTGAGATGGGTTTTTCCAGACAAAACACAACCAGACTCAGAATGGGGGAAAGGGAATATATTACAATGACTGTACAAATAAATACTATAACACATTATACACACGATCACAACTATCTCTACCATGACATATAGTATTTACAATGGATCAGATCTCTTCTCCCCTCCAAATAAAAGTCCAGGAGGGAAAGAAGGACAGATCCCTTCCAGTCTCTCAGGGCAGCAGCTTCTTCTAAGGCAGCAGGTTCTCCTCATCTCATGCATGCAGCAGCTGATAGCTGGATCTCGGCCAGCACTCATGAGGGGGGTATCCCCCTCAACCCCTTGATGCAGGCAAAGGGGTCTTCCGTGGGCTTCACCACGTCATATCACGAAGACGCAGGGGGTCTTCGTGACGGTCTGGTATCTCCAGGAGATTCAAGCTCCTTGCAGGGCCTCTGTGCCCTGTCTCAGGCTGCGAGCTTCTTTGTAGCTTGCAGCAAGGGAGGGCCCCCAAGGCCAACCTCCCACACCGTCCTGGCTCAGCTCTCAGGCTGACTGAGCTTCTCAGCTCCTCTCTGCAAGTGCTGTAGCACTCCAAGGCTCCTCTCCTTAGTAGGAGTCCATGTCCCTCCTTTCCTGGAGGTCTCAAAGGAGTTTTGGGGGGTTTGGTAGAGTTCTTACCCCCAGAACTCCGTAACTCTGCTGCGGACTCTCTTTTCCTCAACTCTCCTTCCAGGAGTCTTCTCTGCGGTTCAGTTCTTATCAGTTGGCTCCCAGCCACAACCTCTGGACGTTTCCGCCGCTTCTGCTCTGTCTCTGCTCACTCATGATGGAAAACATCTCCCAGCTCACAGCTACAGACACATAGTCCAGCTTAACACTGTTCCAAGTCTCTGTAGCCCCCAACTGAGGCTGGGGGGCCTCAGAGGCCCCGAGGGGCTCCGGGCCCCTCTCCTCGTGGCTCTACAACATGGCCACCTCTTCAACCACCAAACTACAACTCTTCTCTTCCGGTTGCTTGTGATATGTTTACATTTCTGCAGGAGCGCTCATTGGACAGAATTTCAAAACTTCCAGGGGTTTCCACCCCTGGGGGTTACCACTTTTCAGCCTCTGGGGGGAAAACAAGATTCAAACCACTACATGTAGCTGAAGATCAAATAGACTTTCTATGTTGCTTTGGCTATCCCGATTCTAGCTTTTTTTCGGTAACACAAGTAGAACAAGTACTGAAATAGCGCTGAACTGTCGTTTCTTCCCCCAGTGACTGAGGAGAGCCATGAAGAACCAGCCTTCAGAAACAGGACATGCGGATGAAATGCCAGAGGAGAAGCAACCCAAAGGAGTGAGACCTTCAGAAACAGAAGGTTTGGAATCACTTGTAATGGAGTTAAAACTGAAGGAATGGCATAAAGAAACTTGCACGGAACCATACATGAAGACTTTTATCTGTGAACAACTTCCTCTGATAGATTTTTATTTTTCTTTCTGCAGTAACTGTTGGTCCGGTGAGTTAAAGGTCTTGCAGCCAACTGACTGTACATTTGGCCATCTGCCACTGTGGCTTCCTGAAGCTGAAGGAACCAGAAAGCAGTTTCTTTTCCTGCAACTTGTTCAGATCTCTCTGTTGAGAGCTTAGATTTTGAGCTCTGACAGCATTAGCATCCAGAGTACTCACTGGTCCCAGAGGCACATTCCGTTTGCAGAGTGCATTCAGGCATCTGCTGCAGCCAGGGCACAACTTGATCGATCCACTGTTTCATGTTTTGGTTTTCATTAAGTAGATTTTACGTACTAAGAAATGTGTGATGGTTAATAGAAGGAGATTTCATGTCACCATTCTAAGGTGAGACTTTTTCCCTGTGCTTGCAGCCTATTCATATGGATGCACAGCAAATCCATCTTAAGTATATTACAACCCTGCAGGTTACCTGGTGACAACAGGGAGGTCCCTTTGCCCACATTGCCTTTCTCTTGCCCCTCTCCAGCCTGAGGCCACTCCTTTGCTCACTCAGTCTGGCCTCGCTGTCCTACACGATGCCTCTTCTGTCTTCTCCAATGGCTGCTGCCAAGAAAAGAGGACACAGTGAGTCCCAAGTGCTGACTCCTCACCACTATACCTGGAGAACCACTATGCCAGCCCTTCAGTGATTCCACCTCCAACCCTATCCCCATACGCTGGGATAGCTACTCTGGGGCTGAAGCTGGAATACAGTTTCTAGAGCTGGACCTGAAGTAAACATCCTACTCTGATCAAGGAGCAACTTCACTTGGTGGTGGGAAGATGTGGAGCTGGAGCTGAAATCACCGCAGGACTAGGATTGCAGAGAGGCCTTCCAGAGATTGGTTCGCAGAACCTGGGCACAGATCAGCTTCAGCATCAGCTTCAGCATCAGCGGGGACTGCGCGAGAGAAGGAGGGTGGGCAACGGGCCTGGGGCGGGCAGGGGGATATGGGGTGGGGGCAGGCACTTAACGATTTCGACCGGGGAGCTGATCTCAACCAGCACCCAGTCAGGGCAGTCTAAGTCCCCGTAGAAGCAGAACTGCTGCGTGGGGAGAGGCGGTCAGAGGCGCGCTACCGCTCTGCGTCCTCCCCGCTCCCGGTCGCCAACTCCCGGCCCACCACGTCGCCGCTGCTCCCTGGTCCCCTGTGCCGCACAGTCCGCCTTCGCGCCCCGGAACCGCCCCGCGTGCCGGTGGGGGGCTCCCCGAGGGGCTCTGCAGGGGCCTTGGGACCGGGCCCCTGGGAGTGCAGCCCGACCAAGGGACGGGGTCCCGGGAGCGGGACCCGGGACGGCCACGGACCAGCGGGAAGGGCCCCTCCGACACAGCCCTCGTCCCTCCGCGCGACGGCCCGAGCACCTCCCGCCACCCGCAGCCGCGGCCCCGTGGGCTCCAAGCCCCACCAATCCCGGCCCGAGGTAGCGCCCGGCCCGCCAATCCCGGCCCACCTTTCTCGGCGCTGTCCAATCACAGCCCGCCTTTTCAATCCGGCAGTGGATTGCCTCCACTGCACCCCAGTCTCATCCCACTCCGTCTCCAGCAGCGCCAGGGCTGGGCTTCGACGGTGTCACCGCCTGCCTGGTGGCCGACCCCGGGTGTGTCACCTCCCCTCGTCACCTCCCCTTGTATACCATTCATTGGTGTCACCTCCCTGTGTCACCTCCCCGTGCCACCCAGCTGGGCTTCAACAGTGCCACCGCGTGCCTGGTGGCCGACCCCAGGTGTGTCACCTCCCCCCGTCACCTCCCTCTGTGACCTCCCATGGTGACATCCTAGTGCCACCCCCAAGTGTCCTTGTTGTTCCCTCAGTGTCTCCTCCTCCCCTCCTTGTCCCCCCCAGTGCCACCCTCTCCCTGTCCCCTCCTTGTCCCCTGCATGTCCCCATTGTCCCCTCAATGTCCCCCCAATGTCACCCGCCAGTGCCACCCCATTGTCCCCTCGTCCCCTCCTTGTCTCTCCCAAT